ATGTTGTGGTGACCCCCAACCATAAAATTATTTTCGTTGCTACTTTGTAACTAATTTTGCTAGTTATGAATCATAATGTAAATATCTGATACGTAGGATGTATTTTCATTTTTACAAATTGAACATGATTAAAGCATAGTGATTAATCACAAAATCAATATGTAATTATATATTGTGAAATATTTATCTCTAATGACAAATAAATGAAATTTTGTCTTGAAGCATGGGTAACAGTCTTCACGCCGGGTACTCATCTGGGCTTATCTATATGTGGGCAGACCCGCATGGAGATGAATAGAAGAGCCGTGTCTTGGTTCCTAAGATGATCAGAAATATGTGTTTTCTGATGGTCTTAGGCAACCTATGTGAAAGGGTTGTTCGACTCCCAAAGGGGTTGTGACCCAAAGGTTGAGAACCGCTGCTCTAAAGAGTCACCTTTTTAAAGACTTTTGTACCACTTAGTTGTAAGGCCTCTTTAGATTTTGGAGGCACCATATACCTTACTAGAGCATGTCTCTCCACACCATTTACCTAATAACTCTCAAACTCATAATTTTCAGTTTTCTCCTTGCTACAATGTCAGCTTCCCAGCTATTTATACTACAGGACACTCTGAAACTGAACAGAGCCTCTGGAGGCATCACAGCCCAGAACTCCAGATGGTCAGCAGTTCAAAACCACCAGCCACTCCCCAGAGAAATGGAGGCTTTCTACCCTCCTAAAGAGTTATAGTCTTGGAACACCCCTGCCTCCTCCCAAGAGCAGTTCGACCCTGGGGTCAGAATCCACTCAGTGGCAGTGAGCGTGTTTTGTTGCTGTTGTTGTTTGGTTTTCTTGTGGGAACTAGTCTCTTCCATTTGAAAAGCAGCTCCTGGTTTTGTAACTGAATTAGGGTACAGACTGGGATAACGGACTGTGGGGCCCAACTTGCCCTGCATCAAATAGTATCTAATCCAGGGACCAGAACCTGCAGGACAAATCTGGCAAGTTGCTTTTTGTTCATAAAGTTTTCTTGGAACACAGCCATGTCCTTTCATTATCATATTGTCATGGGCTGCAACTACAAATGCCCTTGAATCGAACAGCGGTGACAGAAATTGCACGGCCCACAAAGCCTGAAACAATTATTAGCTGAACCTTTACCCCAAACTTTGTGGACTCCCGCTCCAATGCAAAGAAACATACACTTGGTTGTGGCAGGCAGCATTCCACTGTTAAACAAAGCCACACACAGAAGACCAGAACTAGCAGGCCAAGAATACACTGGAGAGCTGTGCCAACCAGCGACTAGAATCTTCTCCTGCCACGCTGCCTCTTCATCCATCTACACCTGAAACCTAGATGTTCCTAATGACAACTTCAAAAAGGAAGAAAACAGCCTACTTAGCACATGGGTATATATGGTGGTCCAGACATCAATAGTGCTACACAGGGCAGTTTCGACTTACAACAGATTTAAAAGATGCAGGTGAAGAGGAGTCCTCTGCGTGAACAGGATTTGGGATAGTACGTATATCCGTTATTCACTTGAGCAGGAGAAGACATGGCCTGCAGGACAGCTCTATGTTGATTCATGGGCAGTGACTAACAGGTTGGGCATCTGGTCTAAACTTTAGAAAAATGCAAAATGGAAAGTTAGGGACAAGCAGGAGAGTATGGAAGCAGTTCTCTCAGCCTAGGTATGGATCGTTAGGAATATGTCGCCATGTTAAGTGCCCGTGTGAGATCATCCAAGAAAGGGCTCAATAATTAGGTAAACTGAACAATATACCTCCTGGATGTCAGCTTCTCTCCTCAGCCAGCCCACTGATGACCCGATGAATCCATCTACAAAGTGGCCATGGCAACAGGAATGGGGAGGAGAATGGTCTCAACCCGTCTCCCCATAGTAAGGCGATTCTAATTTGCTACTGCCAAGTGTGCAACCTGCAACAACTGAGGCCAGCGCTCCACTCTCACTATGACTCCATTCTCCAGTGGGACCACCCAGCTACCGGTGCCAGGTTGACCCCATTAAGTCTTATCACAGAGAAGGCAGGGCTTTGGCTCCTGGAGAGGCATTTTCTAAGGGCAAAATGTGCCTCCTCTGTTATTCGTGGATTTACAGAACGCTTTCTAACCAAGTGGGGTAAGTGTCAGACTGCTAAGCACTGAGTTGGCTGTCTAAGCCCCTCTTCCACTCCAGGGGAGAAAGATGAGGATGTCTGATGCCACCGATTCAGTCTCAGAAACCCCATGGGACAATTCTATTTCTGCCCAATAGGGTTACTGTGATTCAGAATTGACTTGACAAATATTTGCTTTTTTTAACCAATGAGTCTGTGATGGTTTAAAAATATGTTCACAAATTACTTAGTTACTCCTGTCTCCAAAAGAGGAAGCTTAATTTGTTTCTCTTCAGTGGCGGCTGAATTTATGACTGAATATGGCAAAAATGATTAAATACTACATCCAAGGTTAAGTTCCAGACTGCAACTTCCATTTTGGATATTTTCTCTTCTTCTTTGATCACTTTTTGGGGGATTCCTGCTGCCATACCTCAAACAGCCCACTAGAGAAGTTATGATTGAGAAAGTGAGGCTCACTGCCATCTGAGGCTGGAAGCAAAGCTGCCCCTATTCCGCCAGTTTACAGCCCTAGCACCTAAAATGTAACCTCATGAGACATCCTGAGCAAAGGCACCTAAACTACTGTTCCCAAATTGTCAGAAACTATGAGCTAATAAATGCTTACTATTTTAAGGTACTAAATTTGGGGGTCATTTGTTAGATAATAGGTAACAAAACATCCTACACACATTTAGCTCCAAACAGAAAATTTTATAGAAACAAATTCATGCTCATAAGGATTTGCTGGTCTTCCAATACTTAAAAGCAGCTGCCTTGGTAGAAAAGACTGGTTTGTTGACGACTTAGGTGTATTCCAGAAAGGAGACAGCATCTTGCAGGCTGGGAGGCTAACCTATAACACGGAAATTATGTCTTCAACCAGTAACCATCTCTCCCTTGGCATGAGTCTGGAAGTGAGGAGAGGGAAGAGGGCACTATTTATTGAACCTAATAACTGACTCATGGCCTTTTGCTACATTTTTCCCTTCTAAAAAACAGAATAATATGACCACTTCAAGGAATAGTAGTCACCACTAAGACTTGCATTTATATTTGCCAATAAAAACCATTCAATAGCTTCAAACATCTAATCTATAAAATATTTTGGAATAATGCCTATGTGGTAAGAAACAATTAAGATATAAATAAAGCTTGGCTTTCCCTGCTCATGGTCTTTGCATTCAATATTTAAGGCGGTCTGCAGAAATCAGCTGACCCTTTAACAGCGTTGAAGGGCTGACCGAGTTCCTACACAGTTGAAAATTCATATATAACTGACAGTTGACCGTTGAACCATATGGAATGTGAGTTTGAACTGCACTGGACCACTTACATGTAGATGTTTGCCCTCGGTGGAGATGATCAGCATCCCATGGCATTTAAGTGGAGGACCCCAATATTTGAACTCACAGCCACAGCCATAAGAAAACAAACAAAACAAAAAAGGAGCAGTGGGCCTATGCTGTTCAAACCTCCATCGTTCAAGGGTCAACGGTACTGCATTCCCACACTATGAAAATGCAATTCAATAAAACCTAAGTATGCTTTATTAGGACAAAAGAACTTTACATTTATTTTAAATATCAAAATAACACAAAGAACTAGGTTCAATATACAATACACTTCCTACTCTTTACAGAGAAGTGAGTTTTTTCTATAAAGACAGTTATACTTAAGAAACATGAGACAACTTAAATAGCTATAAAATTCACAACATACTTTATACAGTTGACAAAATGATGAAATTTGATAGTTTAGATTTTCTATTTGCAATTCTTTAAAAAATGTCCTTAGTAATTAAAAACCAAAACCATGACGAGACCAAAAGCTACGTTTATAAACATTAATGTACACCATAAATCCCTTTAATCAGAACATTTAATATACAATGTGGAGCAGCTATATGCAAAATGCCCACCTTCATAGTCATTGTTTTGGCACCCACACTCATCCACTGTGATAGTTTTACCTGTAGGGCTAAAAAGTGTCTGACTGCTGGAAATAACAAGAATTTGGTAAATATACCATAATGCATTGTTCCATTTTAAAACAAGCAGGAATATCAAACAAAGAAGCACACTAACAGGAGATGCGTACACGTGTTTTATTCAAGAAAAGCTCTAGAATCTCCAACAGTAATGCAAGCATTGAAATTACTCTGTTACTGAAGAATTTGAGGGTTGGAATGCTATGCCCATCTTGTATAACTTCTATGCTCTAAATATATTTAATTCCTTTATATAAATGGGTAAGCTACATATCGTTACAGCGCCTAAATTTAAATTGTTTGGGATTTTCATTAGCCATAGCCTTCAGACTATTACAAATAAATTCAAACATGAAGAGTAAAGAAAACCAAACCCTCTAACAAACCCCCTTTCTCCTACTCTCTTATTTCCCAGAAAGGAAAAGCAGAAAGCACGCTAGCATTCTTTAAGTAAAATTAATTTCAGAGGAAATAAGGGACAAGCCTACTGAGAGAGAAAAGAACAATAGATTTGAAATTTATAGTTCCTAGAAATTGGTTATAAAGTTATTCCCACATTATCCATCATTCACTTTAACAGCAAGTAACACTTCACATAATAATAAAGTTTTAGAAATTCTAAATTTACATTTAAAGGATACAATTTTAATCATTTTTAATTTGGCACACAATCAGAATAATCTAAATACAGCTTCGCTTAAGAGTCCTAATTTCTCCCGAGTTAATCAACTCAAATTATATGCTACTTGGAATGTTGCTGCTCCTAATGAGAAACTTCTCTCAAACCATAACCCCTTGGTTCAGTTTTAGGCAAACTGAAATAAGCAGTGGTTTAGTGCAGAGTTGTGTGGTCATGGCACCTGGTTTCTAGTGGAACCAGAAAAGAAAAGAGGCAAAAAAGGGGATGAGGGGATAGAGAGAGAGACACATTACTCTTATTTTCCTTTATTTGTCAGATTCTTCCATTAGCATCTAGAGACATGCCCAGGAGTGGTTCAAAGCAACTATAAAAATCACACTAGAGATAAAAAAATTATGATTTATAAATTATAGAAAAATGCAAATGTTCACACTTAGTGTCAGTTTCCCTAAATAAATGTAAGCACAAAAAAAAATTGTTGCCTAACCAGCAGGCAACATATTATAACAGAAGACCAATAACAACAACAAAAACAACAGAAATACCATTTATTAACCAGTTCAATCTAATCAGCAGAATCAACTCTAAGTAACTACATACAACACATTGAAAAGGCACAAAGCTTTCAATCCAGAAAAGAATGGGTATAAAAGGATGCTGTAAGAGAGCTGACACCCCACATCTACTTCTCACCAATGAAGGACACAGTAGAGAGATGGTGCGGTGAGAACATTCAAGCTTATAAATGCATCACTTTGTGCTTTTTGACTGCAATTACATTTAAAATCCATGAATATTTATTAGCCCTTAACTAACAGTCTAAAATCACCCAAAAATGATGTTTTGACACATTTTAAATGGACAGAAAGTTAGTGTACCTACTTCATGACCTACCATCACTGAAAAGGAAGTCACTTAATACAGCACCAGTTGAAAACCCTATTTGTTTTGCTACTCCTCTCCCCAGCAATAAATGTCTGTTAGTTAAAAGTATACAAATATCACTATTTGTACAGTTATTGGTTACATCTTGCTGGGATGAGGAACAATGGTAACTTAGGTTGTGAAAAAATAGGTGTTTTGTTGCTGATTGTTTGTTTTATATAAAAATAACCTCAACATGACTTTAAAAAAATCTAAGGCAAAAATTATTTTAAGAGTGTAGTGTAAAAAATAAGCTTATTACTTAATATTTGATAGCATCCACTTAAAAGACAACATTCAATTAATTAAACTGAGAAACACTGAGCATTCTTACTTGTAATTGCTTTGTCAGTATGACTATCTATTCCCAGAGTATTTTCTCCTGCTCTTATTTTTATAAACATAAATACAAACATGTAGTCTGTAGTACCCAAACTAACAATTTTTAAAAAGAATCCATAATCCTAGGACTTCCACGGTGCTTCTTTGGACAGCATTTATTGACACAACATACAATTTAACTTCTTAAGCTATTTAATACCTACAAAAATCTTTGGTACATGTAAGTAAAAAACAATTATGTTAAGAAATTTCTCTGGACTTGATAAATAATTCAATTTATAGATTAAGTGCTAACTGCTAAGTGCTATCAACTAAAAATAATTTAAAACAATAAATTATAGTTATAAAATAAAAATATTCTGAATGAGGCTAAACTTAGTTGCAATAATCAAAATTGTAATTGATTTTAGAGTTACTGGAACATTTGTCCCAAAATGCTTCAAATCAAACATTATATCATCTGAAGAGAGTAGTCCTCATTTCATATTTTTTTTGTATGCTAACATCATGATATACATTCAGTTTGCCCAAATCCATGAGGTTTTCACAATTAAAGTTTTCTTATACTTTTGGGAACTAGAGACAGCAGATTGGTTTTTGTGTTTGCTGAGGATCTTCATAAAAATGACACTATCTGTTTATGGTTAAATGAGAAGTAGTGCTTGGCACCTAGTAAGCACTCATTAAGGTTAGTTTTCTTCTCCTGTGAGTGGCTCTGCCACTGATTCCTCATGTGAGTGTCACGGAGCCCCTTTCCTCGCGTCTAAAACAGGAATGCAGCACGATCTTCTTCTTTTAGATCTGGTCATAAGGTTCAAATGAGACAACATATGTGAGAGCGTTTTATAAACAGTTAATTACGATAAAAGTATTATTCACAATAATACCTAAATACAATATTTCACTTTACAATAAGAGATGTATTCCAGAAAAGTTCTATGTAAACCAGTTTCTACAAGCCAAACCATATACGTAGAGCAGGCGCACATAAATGAATCCTACAGTAAATACCTGCAAAAGGCATTTCCCATGTAAGACAGCGATGCTGCGATGCTCCTTTCCCCGCTACCAAACATATGCCATACACACAGACATATATAAACGCCATTTACCATTTTAGAAATCCAGGTTTTTCTACATTGGCTTATATATGTAAGGCAGGGTACAATTAAAGTTATGGCGGGCTTTTCCCCCACTGTATTAAGCTTTGTATTTAAAATTGTATCAGTCTTTATGATAAAAATCACAAAGAAATATATTTTTAGTCAATTTGAAAGTCTAGCGGACTAATAGTACCTCATGTATTCAAGCTCAGTTATGAAAGTATACCAGATACAATGTTTCTATACAAAAGTAAATAATGCTTAAAAAGAATTCATACATTAACTATGTCTACTGACCCTACAATAATTACAACCAAACCCTTACAAGTGAGGCAAAACTCAGGTTGGTTTTATTATTTTTATGAGCTCCTTTGGTCAAATGCTTCCATTCAAATATATATTTTTAAATTCTCTAGTATGCTGATGTTGCCAGAAAGTACTTCCACTTGTTAAGTGCTTTAGCAAACATATTTTTTCCTATTAAGTAGTTAAATTTTATTAAATTAAAAGGTCATTATTTTATTTGTGATCTTTTTTTTACAAGGGCTGGACCAAACTTTACAGTTTACACAAAGAAAGTGCTTAAAGCAATTATGAGTGTAAACATGACCAAAAGGGAAAACTTTTAAATTGTTATTTTCCAGTAGTTTACATACAGATGATATATGCTAATAATTAACCACCTTGGGCTATTTTAATCCTTCCAAGCAACCACTAGGAAATATCCTATTTAAGTTTAAATTGATTTAAAACTATTGAAAGTGCACATTTTAAAAGTATTTTATAATTTTGACTGACTTCCCTCAGTTAATTTTAATCAGGGAGATTTTGCTGTGAATACTATTTCCTTTCAACAAGTCCTCAAAATCTATTTCATAGAAAAATAAAATCAAGGGTAAATGTAGCTATAATGCTTATGTCAGAGGCAAAGCAAAACCAGTATTAGGTGTAAATTTCATACAAGTTGTGTTCCATTTAAATAAGCACTATTCATTTCAGTTCAGATACAAATTTTGGCACATTTTCAGACCACATAACTAAGCATGCAATGTCTAGGCTCTGTTTCCCATAGTTTCAATCAGCAAAGGTCAACGAAACAAAGATGGCTTGCTCAGTACATTTCACTAAGGAGTGATGATCTCTCTCCTGTTGTGAATGAAGGTACAAGCTGGGGCTTATCTTGTTAATGCTTCTGAAAGATACTGCAAAGTTTACTGAACTTACCTTAAAAAAATCTAGTTACAACCTTCATATTTGAACACATTTTCAATGTATATAATTGAATGCTTAGTCTTATATTTAGATTTCTTATAATAATTGATGTATGAGGATAACTCAATAATCTAGGTAATTATTTCAAGCCTAGATGTAATTAATTGTCTAATCTGATATTAGAAAGCTTTTTTGGCTTTAGGCTTGTCAAAAGCTCAAGGGTTAATGATTATCTAAAATAATGAATGGGGAAAAAAAGAAAAATAGCCAAGACATCCTTATAAATTCAGACTCCTAGTTGCAATTAAAATAATCTGAATGAAATAATAATGAATCTTAAGGTGCAGTTGCAATTAGCAACATATACTCTTACTTTCCGTCTTAAAAGCTACATGGTCCTTCAACTTGTTTGAGGCGCAGGTAAGAGAGCAAAGAGGAATGAGATTTTAGAAGAAAAAAATTTCTGCTGATGATAAAAAAACCAAACCAAAATTTTAGAAACACTTATAGTGTCAAAAGCTAATAATTCTTAAAAGGTTTTTGAGAAACCATTAAAACTTCGCATTAATCCTTTAAAATCCCCAAGATGGTCACTTTGAATATTAGGCCTCAAAATGTATCCAAATATGCACCTGTTCAGTAAACAGGTATACATAGTTTTCTTGATTTGAAACTGTACTAAGGACTTGAGAAGCTAAATAAAACGAAAAACAAAAAACATCATAACTCTATTAATTTGAATGTCATCAGCTCTTGGCGACCATTAGCACGTAACCATCCCAAACGCCTGCGATTCATGAATGGTGCTCATTATTAGAAATGTTTTGTACTGCAGTAGTGTTATCAAGCCCCAGTAATGTTCCAAGGTAAGACTGCTCTCTAGGATCTAGCATTTGTTCAGGTCGGACTGGATGAACTAGATTCGCAGGTGGAGGAGTCAGGGTGTATTTTTCCAGGAAGGCTAAGTCAGCTGCTCGCTGGTACTCCGTGGGCTGTGGCTGCGCCGTTAGGAGCTCGTGAGAAGACGGTGGCAGTGTGGTGGTGTGCCGCACTACATCACTCTGCGTGTCAGGCATCTGAACGGGAACCAGTGTCACCGGAACGCATACTTCAGCAGACACGTTCTGTAACACACTCTTGGGTTCTGATGGATAAACTTTGGCCTGGTCCATATATTGTTTTGTTTCTTCTTGAAAAAGTTTATCCTCAGATGAGTACTCCACTGGCAAGGATACCAGCTTTTCTTCAGAGGTGCTGAGAGAGTCATCAGGAGATTTGATGCCATGAACGTGGTCAATGTGGTATTTCAGCTTGTCTTTTCTCTTAAATGTTGCGTTGCAGTGCTGACAGTTGAAAGGTCGAGCATCAGAATGAATAACCAGGTGTTTTGTTAGAGTTTTCTTAATTCTAAAAGATTGATTGCATATTTGACACTTGTATGGTTTTTCACCTGTAGAATAAAAATGAAATTCAGTGTAAAATGCACTCAATAAGACAATTTTTTTTTCTTTTTAAAATAAGTTGTATATACCTAATCACAATCCATTCTAGTGCTCCCCCCTCCCTCCCGGATACAATGTTTGTTCCCAAATCCCCTTACCCTCCCTCTCTCACCCGCCCCCCAAATCCCGAATGCAATGCAATGGTATCAATGGCATCTACTCCTCCTGTGCTTCATAAACTGGAAACCCAACAGAAACATTAAAAAACAAAAGCAAAGTTAAATGGCAAGGATCAAATAATAATTACGATAATATAAAGATAAAAATGCAAAGAATGAGTAAGAGAGAAAAGACCACCATCAGTATTTAAACAGCCAGGGGAGAAATTTTTGTCATGGAACAAGGAAGAAATACTTGAACTTAGAACAAATTCAGGTTGGGTCAAGAGGGAGGTGAACTGACTATGTATCAAGTTCAATCCAGCATAATCAAGTTTACAATGATCTCTGTCTGATAGTAATGCTGTTGAAATCCTGTGCCTGTGGATAGAAGGGGGTCTACCAGAGCCTTAATCTGACTAGATACTCTTCATATGGGCTTGGGGCTCCCACTGTGCTCCCCAGCCTTTTATAAATTGAGTGTTTACAATTTGAGCTCTGATACTTTTTCCTTAGTCATATTTGAATTTTGTTACTGCCATCTTTGGAGCATACAAGCTAAAGTCCGTCCTCCACATGGGCTTAGTTGAGTCCTCACTTAGATGACTGTTTGTTTGAATACAAGGAATAAGACAATACTTTTAAGTAGTTTGTTCTACTTGCAAGTACATAGGGAGAGTAATAATACTGTATGCTATCAAAAATTGGTAACAGTATAGCTAACTGATAAGAGAAAAGCTAACTGGGTTTGAATTTTATTGCCACTTACTAACAGAAACTTAGACTAGATATCCAACCTCTGAATCTAATCTCACCTGTAATATGGATGAATAATAGAACAGGGATTCAAAACATCCATGGAAAAGTAGAACTGAGAGAGAATGAATATTTTCCATGAGTTCTTGAAACCTTACCACCCCGTCCCCCATATACCCATCTTATAATGAGTGGATCAACTGAACACATGAAGTTATAGTGCTTTGCACTGTCTTGGCACGTGAGAAATGTTGTCCAGACCATTCTTAAGATCTTTGGCGCTTTCATCTGCACTGAGTTGTTTGTCAGCTGCCACTGAATTGGCCTCTGACTCAGAGAGATCTCATGCACAAAGTGCTGCCTGACTCTGTGTCATTCCCATGATTGATTGCAGATGAAACCACTGTGATCCCGTAAGGTTTTCTTTAGCTGATTTTTGGAAGTAGATCACCAAGCCTTTTTGTGTAGTCTATCCTATTCCGAAAGTTCTGCTGAAACTTTTGCATCACAGCAGTATGCAAACCCCATTGACAGGTGGGTGGTAGCTATGCATGAGGTGCATTGGCCAGGGATTGAGCATTGTCAGTCAAACATTATGTAAGAACTTTTGGTGAAAGCAGATGTGCACTAAGAGAAATACCAACGAGTGGTCTTCACATAGATTAGAACCAATTCCAGATGGAAGAGTGGTAATGCAGCAAAGAATGATCAGGGAAGGGAAGACACCCGATACATTTAAGTAAATAATGGTTACTTAAAACAAAAATAGTGTCTTTCTAAGGTTTAAAATATATGTATAATGAAAATATGAATAAAAGATAAAAGAGAAATAAGAGTATTCTAAGGGCTAGAAAGTGATAAAGAACTAATTTAACATAGACTGTAAAAAGGCTACAAAAAGAACCTAATTATAAAGGGGAAAAAAGCTACAACATGGATGTCCTTAAAATTAAGAACATTTGTTCAATAATAGATATTCCTAAAGAGAGTCACCACTTGTCTGTCAGTTTGTTTTACCCTGGTTGCTCTGATGTTGGTTTCAAATCCTAACAAGGTCACTCAAGGTGAACAGATTTTAGTGGATCCCCGAGTCTACGAACAGACTAAGAAGAAGGAATAAACTGCCCCATTCTGAGGGATTAACCTCAGAACTGCAAGCCTCATGAGCGGCAGCAGAACTTTGCCTGTCTGTACTGGAAGAGGAGACGCAGGTTGGAAGGCACTGAAAATGCGACTGAGGAAAAGCTGCCTGCTCACAGGAGAGTCGGCCGTAAGGACCTGGATGGAGCAAAGCCTTCAGAAGCTTCGGTCACTGATGAGCTGCAACTTCAAATGAGAAGACACAGCTGAAAGCATACAATAACTAGAAATTGGGTTATCTGAAATATTAATGTAGGAAAATTGGAAGCAGCCAAATATTAAATGGGGCATATAAACATCCATATCAAAGGCAACAGGAGCTGAAATTGATTGATATTGGCCATTTTGGATCTTACAATCATATAGTTTACTACAGTGGGAATGGCATGACTTAAGACTTGCATTGCATTCATCAGCAAAAGGTACAGTTCAAGATCTCTTTTGATGAAGTCCAATGATGTTTGTGACCGGACAATGTCTATATGCATACAAAGAAAAGCAATCTAGTTAATACAAGGACTAGTCAAAATTATAACCAACCACTAAAGCTTAGCTTATAAAGAAATTAAAGAATTCTATTAACTCTTCAGTCTGAAATTGGTTAAACATGCACTCAAGATGCATCAATAATTATTGGTGATTTTAATGTGAAAATTTGAAACAATGAGGAAGAAAGAGTTTGGGAAAATGTTGCCTCAGTGGTAGAAACAAAGTTGGAGATTACACGATAGAAGTTTGCAAGACCGACAACTTCTTCATTGCAAATACCTTTTTTCCACAACATCAATGGAGACTGTACACATGGACCTTCCCAGATGGAACACACAGGAATCACAGTGACTACATCTGTGGGAAGAGACCATGTGGAGAATCTCAACATCAGCAGCCAAACTGCGGTCAGTGGTCCAGTGTGGAACAGACCATCAATTGCTCATATGTAAGTTCAAGTGAAACTGAAGAAAATTAAAACAAATTCTCAAGAGCCAATGTACTACAGCGAGTTTATCCCACCCAGATTTCAGGAACACTTCAAGAAAACATTCAAGTCACTGAACACTAATCACAGAAGACTTGACAAGCTGTGGATTACATGAAGAAAATAACGCACAAAGAAGGCAAAAGGTCATTGAAAAGACCAAAAAGAAAGAAAAAATCAACGTGGATGTTAGCAGACACTGTAAAACATGCTCACAAACAGAGAGTAGCTAAACAAATGGAAGAATTATGAAGTGAAAGAAAGAGTGGAACAGAAAATTGTCTGTACTGGAAGAGGAGACCTTCAGGGTGGAAGGGACTGAAAATGTGACTGAGGGAAAAGCTGAAGAAGTAAATTAAAATCATGAAATATGTAAGGACCTGGGGTCAGGAAGCCAAGAAGGAAGCACACACATAGCATTCCTCAAGCCTCAAGTTAGAGCATTGACAAATTCTATGGGACAAATATTGAATGATGTAGTAATCATCAAAAGCAGATGGAAGGAATAGAGTCTCTATCAAAGAGAATTGGTCGTCATGACATACAACCAATTCTAGAGAGAACACATGATCAAGAACCACGTGTACTGAAGGAAGAAGCCGACGTTGCACTGAAGGCATTAGTAAAATGGTTCAAGAAGCTCATGAAGCACTGAAAGTACTCACTTGTCTATCCCAGGGTTTTTAGAAGACAACTACTTGGCCAACCAACTGAGATACATCCAAATTTGGGATATATCCATTCCAAAGAAAGGTTACCTTGCAGAATATAAAAATTATAGACAATATCATTAATATCACATGCAAGTAAACTGTTGCTAAAGATAATTCATAAGTGTTTGCCACAGTACACTGGCAGGGAGCTGCCAGAATTTAATCTGGATACAGAAGAGAATGTAGCATGAAGGACATTTCTGCTAACATCAGATGAACCTTGACTGACAGGATAGAATAACAGAAAAATATTTACTGTGTTTGACTATGCAAAGGCATTTTACTATGTGCATCATAACAAACTCTGGATAGTAATGAGAGGAAAGGGCATTTTAGAATCTATACATGAAACAGAACAAAACAAGGAAATACTATGCACTTTAAAATCAGGAAAGGGGTGTGCCCGAGTTATATCATTTCAACACACTTATTCAATCTATATGCTGAGTAAATAATCCAAGAGGATGGACTGTATGAGGAAGATTGGAAGCATCAGGATTAGAAGAAGGTTTATTAATAACCTTCAATATGCAGACAACATAATCTTGCTTGACCTGAAGCATTAATGATGAAGATCAAGGACCACAAACTTCACTATGAATTACAACTCAATGTAAACTATAATCCTCACAAGTGGACCAACAGATAACATCATGAGAAATGGAGAAAAGATTGACATTGTCAAGGATTTAATCTTGCTTAGATTCATATCAATGCTCATGGAAGCAGCAGTCAAGAGATCAAATGATGTATTACATTCAGCAAATTTCTGCACAAGACCTTTGTCCAGTGCTGCAGAGTAAGGATGTCACTTTGAGGACTAAAGTGCAGCCAACCCAAACCATGATATTTTCAATCCCCACATATGCATGTGAAGGTTGGACAATGAATAAGGAAGACTGAAGGATGGATGCATTTGAATTATGATGCTTTCAAAAACTATTGAAATTATTATGTAATGCCTATAGAACAAACAAATACGTCTTGGAAAAAGTACAGCGAGAATGCTCCTTAGAAGCAAAGGTGGCAAGATTTCATCTCCTGTACTTCGGACATGCTACCAGTTGAGATCAGTCCCTGGGAAAGGGCATCATGCTTGGTAATGAGAGTGTCACTGAAAAAGAGGAAGCCCCTAAGGGAGATGAACTGGCGCAGTGGCTGCAAAGTGCCAGGCTCCGGGCCTGGCCATGTTGCATTCTTTTGTACATAGGGTCACTCTGCGCTGGAACAGACTTGAGGGCATCCAACAACAACATAATGAAAAG